TTTTCTCATAGCTAAATCCATGTCTTATCCTATGCTGCCATATGCGGCCTTTGTGATATCACACATGTCTTTTCTGTATTTCTGTTCCCCATGTGACGACATATTTCCAGTCTATGTATGCCCCTCCCTTCTTCCTGTGTGCAGTACTTCCTGTGTCATGGCCACAGTTAAGAGCCACATGTAACAAGGACACACATGTAATCTGCACAGTACGGAGGAAAGGCATCATTTTCTGACCGCACAATACTATAACCGTTCAACTGCTGTTCCTATCATCTGCTGTAACCTGATGTTAAAGAATAAACACCTCTTTTGAATGAATCGGTATTGACGAGTTCAGCTATCTGACGAGGATTGTCCGCAGTGAGTATATCTGCTTATACAAGCCAGGCATAGAGGTCTCAGCAAGGGATATATTTCGCTATCACAACGATCGGAGTCAGAATAGACATGCTGGTTTATAATTTTCTTTCTACATCAGGCAACTCTGCTTTCTCTGGTTCATGTTCAGGGTGGTGTACACTATGATACCAAACAGCAGAATTACTACTTTTCTCCATTTAAAGCACTATACAAACTGTTAGTGTAATATATAAATCTTGTAGAATAATAATTGAAATAGGCTAACTGATTATAAAATTGAAGACGTGTGGAACTAATTATAGAAAACAGTTTGAAATATTACTATGATCCAATTATTTATAATCTTTTCTAGGGCTAGCAACAAATCTGCATAGGCTGTTTCAGAATTTCTTTCTGGAATAAACAATATTTTTTCTATTTTCACTCTTTGCTTTACTCTATCACATACCCAAGGCATGCAGGTATATATCAGTTTATAATTTTATGTAATTTCAGCTTTGTTTCAATGAGCTGTAAGGGTACCAAACAATTTGTCCGCATCTGTACCAGTTGTGCCTTTGGGACAGGAAAAATAGGAAATTCTATTCAGTTCAACTTCAGTAAACACTTGACAGTTCTTCCAACAATTCCCCACTCTGTCCAAAAGTAGAAAAAAAACTTCAAAAAGTTTTAAACTCACCCGTCTATGCAATTGTGAGAGCAATGCAGTATGGTCCACAGCGAGCCGCCACTGCAACCTCTCTGGTCAGTCCATTAATCCTTTAAAGAAACCTAATAGAAAAACCATCTGACATTGGGACGCATACAAATCCCTGGCTTTCATTTATGTGCATGGTGATTTGATTTGAGGCTAGCTTTTGAGAGGGAATATTAGCTCACTCCCAGCTGTGTCAGGATCTTTAGAGGTCATTTTTAACTAGTTTGTGTTTCTGGGCTTTAGTATATACAGTATACAGACACTTCGATTTGCAAAGAGACAGAACATTGGTTGAACAACATGTGCCAAACACTATTCAAAGACTGCTTACTCAGCTGACAGCGAGAGTAGAAAAGGTCAATTTTTGCTCTTAAAGCTATGATGATTTTTAATTAAAGACAAAACTACAGCTAATGTGGGTACTAGAAACGGATCGTGACAATATAACATTGCAGGAGGACCTGGAAAAAAATCGGGGAGTGGGCAATACTATGGCAGATGAGGTTTAATGTCGATAAATGCAAAGTAATGTACTTTGGACATAAAAATAAACAAATAGGCTATACAATCATGGGTATGCCGCTAGGGAAGTCAGAAATAGAAAAGGATGTGAGGGTCATTGTAGACCACAAACTGAATGGTAGCTTGCAGTGCCAAGCTGCGGTAAACAAAGCTAGTAGGGTCTTGTCCTGTATTAAGAAGGGGATGTATTGCAGGGACAAGTCTATAATTGTGCCTCTATATAGATCGTTGGTTCGGCCACATCTGGAGTACGCGGTCCAGTTTTGGTCACCGGTACTGAGAAGGGATGTCCTTGAACTGGAGAGAGTCCAGCGGAGGGCAACAAAACTAATTAGGGGAATGGAGGACCAGAGCTATGAGACAAGGCTTCTGACCTTAAACATGTTTACGCTGGAATTAAAGAGATTAAGGGGGGATATGATTTTCATGTACAAGATGTTCAATGGTGACAGCAACATTGGCAACAAACTGTTTAACATTAACTCCATTACAAAGACTAGAGGCCACCACCTAAAGTTGTTGGAGAAAAAATTCCAGCACAATGGGCGAAGAGGGTTCTTTACAGTAAGAGCGGTTAGGGTCTGGAACTCACTGCCATCGGCAGTGATTTCAGCCAAGAGTGTAGATTTGTTCAAGAAACGTTTGGACAATTTCTTGAGGGACCGTAATATCCAGGGATACCAGTATCCCTAAGAATGAGATGATGCATGGACCTATATGGGTTGGACTTGATGGACGTATGTCTTTATTCAACCCCAAATACTATGTAACTTTGTAACTATGTAACTATGTGATGTGCTTATTTAGGCATCATATGTCACAATGTTTTAATTTTTGCTGTGCCTAGAGTTCAAGTTTTAGAGATGTATCTCTTTAATATCAGGTAATGTTTATTAGAAGAATGTATATTAACTCTTGAGACTTTCCAGAAATATTTTTGTGTATGAAATGAACTGTGAATGTTATGCATTGTGAACTAAAGGTGCCCAGGCATGTTACAGTATGATCCAATAAACGTAATTGTGGGGTACTACAATTTTTATTAGATCAGTAGTAAAATCAAATTTACAACACATTTTAGAAACTGTATAGACTATTGGTGAAAAAATGTTGTATGGAGACAAAATATGTCCTGACCATATCTGGACCAAGGTGGCCGATATTTGTTGAATATCTGTGCCTTTTATTTTTTACTTTTGATACCACTTTTACTTTTTATATCATTTGTACTGTTGTTTGTTGGCTTTTGCAAAATCATAAAAAAATGGAATATAAAAAAAAGATGGCCAGTTTGAAAGGCAATTTAGCTTAGTGTTTTTGTACCAAAATGTAAGTATTAAGGGATTTTTGATTGTGTTACATAGTTACATAGTATTTGAGGTTGAATAAAGACATTAGTCCATCAAGTCCAACCTATTAGGATCTCATTCTAGGAGTACCCGTACCCCTGTATATTACGGTCCCTTAAGAAATCGTCACCCTCCCCCCCACTTTCTAGTTTAAAAGCTCCTCCAGTCTTTCTACCATTTTCCCTCCCAGGAATGCTGCACCTTTCCCATTAAGATGCAGCCCGTCTCGGCTGAAGAGCCGATAGCCGACTGCGAAGTCAGCCCAGTTCTCCAGGAAACCAAAACCTTCCTTCTGACACCAGCTCCGGAGCAATATTTTTGTTACACAGTAATAGATTGGTTGCCACACCTGGCCTGAAGGTTTTCAGGTTTGTATTTTAATGTTGCAATTGTGTCACAGTCTGAGAAAATTAGAAAATTTAAATAAAGAGAGTCTTTATTGCTGAGTATTGGAAATAATCTGTATTCTTCCCATTGTTCTTTGCCTTCTGAACAGTGGTGAGTTAGTGCTGATTATTGATGAATTTTCTGTTATTTCCAGGAACATAGCAAGGATGAGCTGGATGCTTGGAAGATTGTTCGTGTTAGTGAAGATTTTCGAGTCATTGCCTTAGGTCTACCAGTGCCAAAGTACACTGGCAATCCTCTTGACCCACCACTGCGCTCTAGATTTCAAGCCAGAGATATTTATTATTTGCCTTTTAAGGTAAGACATAATATTTGTGTATTGCTTTCATGCTGTAGGCTGTTGGATTTGCTACTTCAGTGCTAGCAAGATTTAAGTGCAACTGAAACCAATATTTTTTTGAGTTTTTGAGTGATGAGGGATTAGAACACTGGTCAGGGTTGTATTGCTGTCTGTGTCCCCGCTAGGGAGATTCACCCTATTTGTCCTAATGATCAGTATCCCTGAAAGTGAAAGTAAAACAAAATCCCAAATTTTGGGAGCACAGGAATAGATGGGAAATCTTCCAATGGGAACACTACTTCTGGTGATCCTGCTGACCACAATTTTTTTCCCTCCCACGTCCTGTTGTGGTTATATGACCAGAAGTGAAGAGAAAACTCCTAGATGGGACACAGATGGCAAAAAAAGAAGCCGACAGTGGTTTTAACCCTCCCTAATTTATCCAAAACGAAAAAAAGTTTTAGCTTCAGTTCTACTCTAAGTTTTCAATGCACACTCAAGTGCATTTGTCCCTAAAATTAAACAGTGGCTAAACAAAACAACAAAGCTCACAGTAGAAGCAGGTACCTAGTAGTATATGGGGTCTCAATGTACTTGATGTTACAGTAAGTCACTGTGCAAATATTGACTTTAGGATGTTGCAGTTTGTATAGGATTAGGCACACTCCCACAAGCCAAAGCATAAACCTGTTGGCAGCAGACACTGGGTGCTGTTATTGTGAACACTGTAGAATCCAACGGTCTCTAATAGTCCTATTGAAGGGACATGTATCCAGCCAGACACATTGAGGGGAATTAATCCAAACTGGAGCAGCTGTGCATGGCAACCAGTCAGCTTCTCTCTTCAATTTGTTCAGTTAAGATTTGAAAATGAAAGAGATAAACTGATTGGTTGCCATGTACAGCTGCACCAGATTTTGTCCGCTCCAATTTTGATAAATTCCCCTCACTGACTTCTGGCTGGTGATCACTACCATTTGAATGTGATCATATGACAAAACATTGTTGCCTTAATAGTGCTTTGTCCTAAAAAGTTTCCTTCCTCAGCTGCTTTGTATTTCGGGAGAGATTTTTGAGAGACAGAGTTGAGAGAGTTGAGAGAGTTGAGAGAGAGATGTAGCATTTGGAAGCCATTTACATTCTTCCCTTCAAGTATTTTCTTGATGCTGTTTGCCATGGGCAACACGATCTGTTCTTTCCTTAGATTTTTTTTGTGCATGAAGCCATGTACTTAGTTGACAACTTAAATCACAGCCACTGTTATAAAATAGTATTGCTAATACTATTAGTTTCAGAGCTGTATTAAAATGGCTGCTGATCTCAGCTTCTCTGTTGGTAGCATGCAAGGTCCAGTGCAGGATCTCAGGAGCTGCAATTATTAGATCCTGGTTTCTGTTGCTTCCACAGATCACTGCAGAGGAGTGTGCCGTAGAAGCAAATATAAACAGAATGCTGCCGAATTCTTTTTACATCGGAACTGTAATGACTTTACAAGTGACTTCTTGGCACTTCCTCTGAGTACAGAGGCTGGGGCAGAGCTCTTACAATTCTTTCCATTTTTGACCAGCAGCAATGGATCACAGCTATAGTTTAAGCTTTACTATTGTGCTATGAGGGCGGGCTGATAAAATTTGCCTCCACTTAATTAGAAAATGAATGGGAAAAGATATTTTAATAAAACAATATATACCTTCATCATTTATTTTCAAAGCTGCATAATTATTTTTCTATAAAATCACAACACACTTGAATGCACTTCCGCCAAGTCTGCACTCGTTTTTGAAATCCTTCCTTAAAATAAATCAGTGTTTTGTTTCTTGAAACCATTTCCTCACTGCAGACTTCACCTCTTCACAGATGAAGCGCTAGCCCTTCAAGTGTTCCTTTAGTTTTGGGAACAGGTGGAAATGACTAGGAGCCAGATCTGCGGTAGCATTATAAAGTCCAGGCATTGAATTGCATCTCTTGTTGCTACACTTGTGTGAGGCCTTGTCGTGTTGAAGAAGTGTGCCCGCCCTCTTATGTTACATAAAAGTCACACTAATCTAATATTTTAATCAGCAGACTTTGTTGATTATATTTTTCTTTCAATTTTCCATTCTAATATATTGTTTTCTAAATTGGTACTATTTATTCCTAATACAAACCTAGGAAATAAAACTGTGCTACCAAACTAAAGCTATCTGTCGCGAAAAAAAAAATGTTTTATATGTTAGGGGATGTGCAATACGCTGTGAGATGCAAGGAGATTTAGGAAGAAAAAGGCCCAGGGACTAAAGTTGTTAATCTGTCGTAGTGAAGATTAAAGGAAAGCGCCATTAGTGCTGCCCTACATTGTGATATTTGAAAGAAGTAATTGATTTTATTTATATTTTAACCCAAACAGGATCAGCTTCAGATGCTCTATTCCATTGGATCAAATGTTCCTGCAGAAAGGTAATAAAACACAGATGTACTCTAGGCACAGCAGAAATAAAACTGGTAAAAACAGATGTCCTATGATGTCTTAATAAGTGGATCTTACTAGCTGAAGCACTTTTTAGTGTTTAGTATGAATCACTACCAATACCTTGTAAGTATATGCTTGTTCAAGGTCTTTGACTTAGCTTGTATTTAAGGCAAGATAAGTTTTGCAGCCCGAAGCTTGCAACTTTAAAAATAAGTAAGCAGTTGCTTGTCGCATTTTTTTTTTTAAACAGTGCAGAAAAATGGGGCACAACATAGAAAGCAACTGCTAAAATACTCTCAGAAATGTTTTTGAAAGCATTACTTCTTGGACAATTATATTTTGCCATTCAATGCCGTTACTACCAAGCTTGAAGGATTGCCAGATCTTTTAAGTCTGATGCAGTTGTCTTTTGTGCTAGAGGCAGCCTATTTATTTCAAAACTATTTTTTGAAATGCTGGTTAAAAGTTGAGCAGCTAGACTTTCAGTTGGTCAGCATCTACTGCATCTGGTTAATGCTCCTGGTTTCTTACCTTGCTTTTAAACCTTTAAAAAAAGTATGAAAAAACCTAATAAACAAATATCTGTTTTGAAATAAAAAGATGTTTAAGACCTTGGTGTGTACAGTAAACTCCCAGTTATCTGGCACCCACTGGGATCGGTAGGTGCTGAATAACGGTAGTTTCTGGTTGCTTGAAAGTTAATAATAACTCTCAAGCAACCACCCCCCCACCCCTCACGGCACCATTTACCTGTCGGTTAGCTTCCATAGCCGACAGGTGAATGTAAGCAGCCAGGAGCATTAGCCAGCCTGCTATTGGCTATTACAGTAGCCAATAGCAGGCTGGCTATTGAAACCCCGCCCACTGAGCAATAAAAAGCTGAGCACTTTTTATTGCTCCATAGTTTTTAGGGTATTTATTAACAATTTAGTAAAATTTAAAATACATCCAGTGTTTAATAAAATACTCTGCTTTATCACAACTGGTTTTGTTTTCTGCGTATACTTTCAGGTTTTAATTTTTGTTTTTATAAATGATGAGTAAGCATAAACACAAAAACCTTCTAGAATGTGTAAATTATGTTATAACAGTAAACACACAGTGTCAAATATTTTATTTGTAACCAACATTTTGCAGATGCTTTAATGATTGATTTATATTTTACTGGTATTTATTAATTCCCTTATATTTCTCGTAAGGATTTCCCAGCTCTTGTCATTTGCCACAACTCTCTGCTCTCAAGAATCTGCCAGCCTTGGGCTTCCAGATTTCCCAGCAGACAATCTAACAGCAGCTATTGGCATTTTGGTAAGCCATTTAAAATAGTATACTTTTAGAATCATCTTTAAATTATTAATCTTAGTCTTACATTTGTACAGAATGAAAATCATTAGGTAGCTCTCCACACAGACCACAGATTTTGTTTCCTGGGAGAAAGAATGTAGATGTTCTGTTTTGGAATTTAGTATTTTTGTGTATATCTGTATTAACGATGCAAAAACATGAAATGTTTGTGTAATGGCATATTATCATGATAGCTTACTTCTGTAATGCATTCTGCCTGCTCAATCATGTGTTTTATCATGGCTTAGCCCTGTTCTGTCTGGAGCTGGTTGAAGATAGGATTTTTCATGGTAAATGTTAAAGACCATCTTGTATTCATAAAAAGACAACAGGCACAAATTAAAGCAAGCAGCAGCTCAATACAGAAGGAAAGAATAAAGCAGCGTCTACACATAATTTGGAGAGGATAGTCATAGTCCCTTTATACTCCTTTAGGTTGGTACCTAAAAGCAGGTGGTATGGATTGACATGCACTTCTTGGTGGCTATTCACCACTTCGATTTGAGTGCAACAGCAACCCTTAATGCTGATATATTCTGGCATGGTAACTTTTCAACCTTTTACACTTCAGTTTCTAATTCAACCGCCTGGCCTTGCTTCCCTCTTCCTACTTTTACCAGATGGATACTAACATTTATCAGAGTTACAGAAGTTCATGTGGAACTCCTCTGCTTAGACTGTTGGGTCCACTTCAGGAGGGTAGTTTTGCATTTGTGGGCAGAACAAGCAGATATTTAGCATGTGATAAAATCTGGTTCTCTGTTTTATATCATGTTTGGACCCATCAGGCTGTAGACGATTTGAGGCATTACTCACCAATGATTTTATCTGTTAACAGCACCATCACCATTTCTTTCTCCTCCAATTATTGTATGTCTAAGAAAGCAGTTTGCATGTTTCTATACCGGTAGAACACAGTGAAGGTATGGAAAAAAGGGAGGTTTCATTTTTCCCCTCTTTACATCCATTTCACATTGTAGGCCATATTTCTCTTAGGTGCTATAACTGAATGCTAAATAAAAATATAAATTACCAGCGAGAAATAAAATTGTTATCAGCAATAATTGTTAATATACATGATTAGCCAAACATAAATACGCTCATATCTACCTCTTTGCATAGAAAAAGTTGCTTTAATCTAGGCTATAAAGGACACATGGCACATTAAAAAATATATAGTATACTTCATTTTTTGCACTTTTTTTTGCTAATGTTTGTGTGTAGGGTTGCGGGTCAGGATTACTTGATTTATTTATGATGGCTGACTTCACTGAACTGATTTGCCTATGGCTGTTAAATGTGATGCTGAGCAGCCATGCAGCTTGGGAAGCAGTTAAGAATGTTGATATAGCAAATATTAACATCATGCATTACATAGACAAAAGTGTTATGTCTAAAAGTACATCTGTAAGTATTTACAGCAACACATTCCTTGTTAAAACATTACAGAGCAGCACTTGTTTATATAATGAATGCTATAAATAACCCAATCCTCCTTTGTGAATGTAAGGACTATTCTTCCAGGCATGCCACCATACTGTGCTTTCAGTAAACTCCTGATTGTTTTAAAAGGCCTGTGCTTATTGACGACTCTTTAGTTTGAATCAACACAGTGATGTTGCTCTCTTTGCTTACAATGTCAACAGTATGAAGCTATATTAAAAGACAGGTGCAAGCAAAGTATTGATAAATAGGAAAATGAAGGTTTGCAAATGCATAGGCAGAGCCAGCTGTCAATCCCTCAGCTGGGTGGATCTCGACAGTAATGTCGGGATCCGCCCCGGCTGCGGCGTTTCAATATACCGCAAGCTGTAGCTCGCGGTATACTGAGCTTAGGGTGACGGGGGGACGCTAGTTTGTGTCCTCCCATTACCCTTAGGAGAACTATGGGGAAAAGCCCTGACCCCATAGTTCTCCTTTAAGTTAATTGGCATTATTAGGTCTTGGCGTTAGCACACACGTTTTCCTGCATTGAGGTACACTGCGTTAAACAACAATTCATTTTGAATGGGCTGCAAGTGCACCTTGATGTGTAAAAAAGTATTGGCAACATTTTTTCTTCAACTCAGTGGCATCCCCAACTTGGAATAAGTTGGCAGCACAATGAATATATACCTACGCATTACCACATGCATATATGTGAATTAGCTCTATATTTGCCTTCAATAAAAATTATCTTGGGTGGACATTAAGATTGAAGGCACATTCACACTTTGCATTCTGTTAACATACGCACATTAACAAACACATCTTTGTGCATTGAGACATGTTGTGCAAAAGGCTGAACTCCAGTCTTCAGCAATCACCTGTGTAGCTTCCTTACCTTATACTGTATTTAAATGTATTTATTTATTTTATATAATATTTCCTTTCTATTTTCTGGATTTAACAATATAAACACATAAACATCAAGAGACTCTCGCAGCCCCTATGTGATAGCGTTTGGAGGTGACAGTCTCTCTTTATGAAGACCGCCCTGTAAATACAGGAGATCAAGCTCAATCTCCTGTGCAGCTGAGACTGGAAGTGCTGTGAGTACACCGCTCCTGTCTCACTGATCACACAGAGGATATTGGAGAACGGAATTTCTCTGGCCTGTTCTCTGAAGTCATTTGCAGTGATCCCGGGCCCCCCAGAAGAGTAGGGGACCCCGAAAACCACGGGGGAAGGGGGGGGGGGTGCATGGGT